GGGTTACTTTAGAGTCTATTTTCTAATTCATTTCTTACTCGATTTGAACAAGTGAATATATTACATTATTTTCCTTATGGAGTAGAATATGAACCCACGAAATATCACTCGAAACAACGATTAAGTCCCATTTTCATTTAGGTTTAAAGACGACCAAAAATTCAGTTTTTATATTTGAAAACTGTTTTGGTCCAACAACATCTACATATTATGTCCTAATAGCATTAATGGACTGAAAAATGAAACAAAAACAAGAGAACAAATGACATGGGACTATAATATTGATGTTTTCTTGTCTCACTTTCATTCCTTTAAAAATTAATATTTAATAATTTACCATGTTAATTGTCACATCATTGAATTTTTTTTTTTAATTATTGGTGTAGCATTACTCGTAATGTGGCTCATATTTAAATACTATAATAAATGAGTCAATATGTTGTCATTTCTTATTGTAATTTTCCTCTCTGTTGTATTTGAACAAAGAAGAGAGAGCAAATCGTACACATACATCTCAACAGTCAACCTTTTGGATTTGAACAAAGAAGAGAGCAAATCGTATATATACATCTCAATCTTTATTGATTTGAAACACTAACAATCAGAGTCACTTAGAAGGGCATGAATAGGTCTTCTAAAACCCATTGACAAAAACAATAACAATTAAAAATTGTAGGTAGGCCCTTAAAAAATAATCTACTACACAACAAAACGTCACTAAAAAACTTGAGTAGAAAGCTCAAGAATTAAAGCAACAAAGAACGTCCCACAGCAATTGAAAGAAACTGCGGCAATACGGCAATCAAGTTTAAGCCATGTAAAAGATATAATGATTAACCGAATGTCCTTAGTTTGTGGGTAATTACGCTCTTATGTAGCAGTTATGAGTCCACATAATATGTAATTGAGACAATTCTAAGTCTATTTTCTTCTTTGTGCACAACGAATCTACTCATCCTAGTTTAGGACAAATACAGTGTCTAGTTACTTTTGAGTAAGTCTATTTTTGGGTTAGGCTCCCCTCCAATTTTCAAGTAATTGGAGAAGAAAAATATTATGTGGACTTAAAATATTGACTTGATTTATTGATTTGATCAATCAGTATCATTGAAACAGTAGTGAATTTCAATAAATATTGAGATCTATAGTTAAATTAATGACAGTGATTAATTAAGTCAACGCTTTAAGTTTATATAGCATTGCTCGTTAAAGAATCATCTTTTTTTTTATCTAATTCCTTGTGAATAGTCAGAATTTGTTCAAATTAATAAACTCTATTTAATTTTAATTTTAATACTTTTTAAATAAAATAATATTTGTTGATATGGATAAATCTTGATCATTAAAAAAAATTACATGATTCTTCAATTATTTAGAAGTTAGAGGGCGGCCAAACTCTCCATCTCTTGTGTAGTGTATCACATGATACCATGTCTTTTGCTCATAACGAAGTAATCAATCAAGCTAATTAACTTGTACAAGGGCATGAAAGGATAATGAAATTAAAGCTCATGAGAGTCTTTGGGCCTATTTGAATTGTGTCTCCAAAATAGTTTTTTGTTATCAAAAATAGTAAAACTCTTGAGATGTTGTTCGAATAACAATTTCCAAATATAAATTTTCAAAAAAAAAAGTGAAAATTGAGAACAAAAAATAAAGAATATCTAAATGATGTTCTCTGAGTTCTCAAGCCAAAATAGAAAATAAGGAAAACAATCCTAAACTTTTTAATGAGCTCTCCCCTTCGAATTCCCTTAGTAGTAAAACTAGTCATAGTATATAAGTTTTTCTTTTTGCCTTCCTCCCTCTTTCTCTCCACTTTTCCTTTTAGATGGAACGAACACACACGACTAGCGTCTTATCTGGCGATTGGAGGTCTGGGTTCAAGATCTGTCTTCATTTTCTCCGGCGAAGGGTTCAAGATCTGTCTTCTTCGACAATTTGTCTTCTCATTCACGATCTGGGTTCAAGATCTGGGCGATGTGGGTGTGCATTCAAGATCTGTCTTCTCCTTCTCCGGTGTGTGGGTGTGTGTTCTTCGACGTTATATATATCGTGAGTGTTTGTATATAAATTGATATTGAAATTGGTATATAAATTGATATTGATATTGCAATTGGTATTGAAATTGAATTTGATACTAATATAAATTGAAGTACTGTCCAAACATATATTTAGGCTGTCCAAAGTGGTTTTATTATTTTATGTTCTATAAAGCTATTTTTGGAAATATCTAACCAAGCAAGTTTTTCATTTCATAAAACATCAAAATACAATTTTTTAAAACTCCTCTCAAAAACTATTTTCGAAGACTGTTTTTTAAGATGCAATCTAAACACGCCCTCTCTCCTACGAGGAAGTTATGATCTCTTTCCCATCTTTATCTCTCTCTCTATCACACACACTCACATGCAAATAAAGAGAGAGGAACATAAGTAAAAATAAGGATTTTTGTTGCGTAAATTAATGAATTCTATTGATTCGATTGTGCAATAAGTGTGAATTTAGCAAGCTTACCCCACCCAATACATCAGTGGGGTTTTCTGTTTTTCATTACCCACTTGAGATTTTATTATTAGTTGGTGATACCATGTTATCAATGATGACATTGTCGTTGCATTCAATATTTACTCGATATGTAGAGAGAGAGATTAGAGTTTTAATGGGTATTAGATGTATTTTGTTATTATTAGATATATATAGTCATTCAGACCAAACTCTGCAACTCTTATTACTTTATTATTATATGCGTTTAGGATAGATAGGGAGTGTGTGTGTGTGAGAGAGAGAAAGAGAGAGAGAGAGAGTATGAGATAAATAGAAAGACAGAGTTATATCAGATATGACAGCGTTGCGCTTAAAAGGTGTGAGAGATAGGAGAAAGAGATGTAAAAGTCTAAAAGGAATAAAAATCTAATTAGGATCATATAAATATAGATATACATAGATAGAAATATACACATTTTTTACTTGTACTTACTCTATAATTTTCTTATTTCAATTATTTAGTTTTTTTTTATTATAATAAGACTTTTTTTCGGATGACCTTCATTTTATTATGAACTTTTGCAAGTGAAAATTCTTTCGATTGATTTTCATTTGACTTTATTTTTTCTAGGAAAAATTGTCTTTTATTTTTATTCGAGTATTGATTATAATTTTTATTATGTACCAATCAATTATTATTATTTTTAATATGTTTATCTCTTAAATTTTAGTTTAATAGTTTTACCATGCTAATAGTTTAGTGATAATGTTTAAAACATTGTTTATTGAATAAATTTAATGGATTGTTAGTGAATAGCTGATATTTTTTAATTATAAAAATGATTATTGGCTTCACTTTTTTACAATGGTGATAATTAGTCAATTTTTTATACATATACAATATACATTGTTTTTTGCCTTTTTTTATGTTAAATAGATTTTCATGTATCAAATATGACATAATAAATATAAATATATTATATAGTGTGATTGGTTAGGAGGAAAAAAATTAGAGTGTATAATATAAGTGTCCACCCTAAATAAAATTCTTGGCTCATGACATATGTTAATAAACCTATAATTTGTTAGAAATAATCCTTGTTATTAGAGTTTTAATAGGTATTAGATATATTTTGTTATTATTAGATATATATAGTTATGCAAGATATAGTTACAAGAGATATGAGATAATGTGTGTTTAAAACGTGTGAGAGATCGGAGAAAGAGGTGTATCAGTTAATATGAGATAGAGAGAGAATTAGATGAGAAATAAGAGTTTTAAAAAAAAATTTACATGAGGACAATTAGATCAATAATCGTCAAACGATTTGAGCCGTGAAAAACTCAAGGCAAACTTTTCTACCTATTTTATTATATAGATTTGTTAAATAAATTAATCCACGGCCCACTTTGGTGTTAAACCCAAAAAATCCATTCTAATATGTTAGCTCATTATTTAATTATTGTAAAATATTAATCAACTATTCAATAATTTTTAGGTCTCAATATTAATATTGTTTATGTAAAAAATATATAATATTATTTTAATTAATCGTATCCTTACTGTATTCGTGTTCTATATTTTAGAATTTTGTTGTATCCTTGTATTCGTATCCGTGTTTCCTAAGTTAGAAGAAAAACTCATTTATCCATTTTTATATCCATCTTATTTTTCTTTCTTACAAAATAAGATATTTTATTTATCCATATAATTTTTTATCCTTCAAAATTTTCTATTCTTCTATATATATATATATATATATATATATATTTTCACAGTACCAAACAGAGCATTAGTAGCAAGACATAGGGCATCCAATCAGTGAAGGCCACCTAGCACATGGAGCCAAAAGAATTTGATGTTTACACCCACATTAATCATGTATGCACCACAATCATCATGCTATTCATCAGCGTTACCCACCACAAGTTTCATTCACGTGAACATCTGATAGTTCAGTACCATTAACTTATCTTTTAAAAAATTCAGTACCATGGAGACCTGTCAGAACAATGTTTCCGACTCTAACTCTGAAAAAATAAAGAGATGCAAAATGGGATACAACTTCCTCCAATTCGTCACCTCAAACGTCATACAAAATGTTGGATTCAGATTTTATATATATAGAATAACGACACATTTAAAAATTTAACTTAATAATGTGACTATTATATTTGTTATTAATTTAGTTATAGCTTATAATATTATTTAAAACTCACTATCTATTTAATTATAGTAATTTATCAAGTCAAAATTTTAAATCTATTTAACATTTTCTATATTTTTATTATGTTTTTAATAAATTATCTATCATTAATGAGTAAGAAACTTAGTTGTATATAATGATTCTCATTTCAATACATCATACATGACTGGTCAAAAAAAATTGATAAACAAAGGAATTTCACCTCAAAATCTTAAGCTCAAACACTTATATATGGCTCTCAAGTGATTTCTACCACACAAACACAAGTTACACAAGCTTTCAGATAGATCGTTGGGTGTCACATAGATCATTACACCCAAAAGGCAAAAAATTCAAGTGTAGTCTATATGGAGAAGTGTCGCATCTTACTTGTCACCTTTCCGGCACAAGGTCACATTAACCCATCATTGCAATTCGCCAAGCGCCTTGTCCGAATGAGTGTCAAAGTCACCTTCTTAACCAGCGTCTCTGCCATTCGCCACATGGCCAAAACCACTCCACCTCCAGAAGGATTAGCCTTCGCTTCCTTCTCTGATGGTTATGATAATGGGTGGACAGTTAGTGACGAACGCTTCATATCTGAGCTTACAAGACTTGGTTCCCAAGCGGTGGCAGAACTCATCACCGCCGGTGCTGCCGAAGGCCACCCGTTTATCCATGTGATCTACACCACCCTACTTCCATGGGTAGGACGGGTGGCGCGTCGCCTTCATCTCTCCGCCACACTTCTTTGGATTCAACCAGCCACCGTTTTCGATATTTATTATTATTACTTCAATGGTTACGCTGAGATCAATAAAAATAATAGCAGTGACCCCTCATTTTCCATTGAATTACCAGGGCTGCCACCTCTTGCCATTTGTGACCTTCCCTCTTTTTTTCACTCTTCAAATTCAAACATATACAATTTCGCAATCCCAGCATTAATGGGGCATTTTGAGCTACTTGATGAAGAAACAAACCCAAAAGTACTCCTAAACACCTTTGATGCTTTGGAAACTGAGGCCCTAAGGGCTATTGAGAAGTATAACTTAAAGGCAATAGGACCACTAATACCATCAGCTTTCTTGGATGGAAAAGATCCATCTGATACGTCCTTTGGAGGCGATCTCTTTCAAAAATCAAGAGATTATGTGGAATGGTTGAACTCAAAAACCAAATCTTCTGTGGTTTACGTATCGTTTGGAAGCATATCCGTGTTATCAAAGCAACAAATGGAAGAGCTTGCCTTCGGATTGCTAGAAAGCCATCGGCCATTTTTGTGGGTGATTAGAGGAACTGGTAATGGGGAGAAAGAAGAAGAAAAGTTGAGTCGCAGTGAAGAACTAGAAAAACAGGGGATGATAGTGCCATGGTGTTCTCAAGTGGAGGTTCTTTCGCACCCATCGGTGGGGTGTTTTGTGACACATTGCGGGTGGAATTCGACAGTGGAGAGCTTGGTTTCTGGGGTGCCAGTGGTGGCGTTTCCGCAGTGGACCGATCAGACGACCAATGCAAAGCTCATCAAAGACGTTTGGAAGACTGGGGAGAGGGTGACTGAGAGTGGAGGAGTCGTCGGAGGTGGTGAAATCAAGAGGTGCTTAGAGCTGGTGATAGGAAGCGGAGATAGAGGCGAAGAGATGAGAGAGAATGCTAAGAAATGGAAGGATTTGGCGAGGGAAGCTGTGAAGGAAGGTGGATCCTCGGACATGAATCTTAAGGCTTTTGTGGATGAGATTCGAGGTGGCAGTCAGTAAAATTTATTCACAAAGGCCAATTCTAGACAACCAAAATAAGGCATTGGTATTGATATTGAATAAGCACTGCATCATTTGATTTCTAGTTTCGTTTTTATTTTTTTGTTGTTGGTCTAGCATATGTTTTATGGTTGAGTACCCTTTTTTACTTTCTCTTCATTTGTTTTGAGGGGTGTCATGCTTGTAATTTTTGTCATAAATAGACATACATAAGTTATGTGATGTATAAAACTTGTAAAAGTACAACCTTTACCAAATATATCTTACCACTAATAATAGATTTAATTCAATGTTAGAATCCACCTCGAATATAATGATCACAACACATTAAGTCTGTATATTAGGCTCTAAAACTTGTTACCTGGAGAGTTCGGATTTTCCTCATATACAATATGCTTGATCCTCAAAGAGTACATCCAAGTGCAAGTAGTCAAGAAATAATGATTTCTTGATAATTCGAGGTCTAACCATAAAGATTAAAGAAAATTTAGAGGTAAAGGTAAAAAAAGAACCAAAATTCTCAAAAAGATTGTATTGGTTTGAAAGATAATTGCAAGTAAAATCTAAATAAAATAACCTATTCAAAATTGATCTGTTCATATTCATCGAATAATTATAATTATGCAATTCATAATTATCTCAGTTGATTTTCAAATTAATATTGTAGACAATTAAAAAATATAGCTTCGAAACACAATTGGTTTGATTGATATGAAAATAGAATTTGAAGAACTAGTTTTATAAAACTTGAATGAAATTATAAGCATTGAATATACCAAGAACTCAATCTTGTTAATAAATAAGCAAATAATTTTACAGAGTATAAAATTTTTCTAAAACATTCAATCAATCTTGAAACAATAAAGATTTAATATTAAATTCAAGAAAATAATTGCATAAATATAATATCTAAACAAACAATTACAAATCCATAATTCTAGGCTAAAGAGTACAAGGGAACTACTCACTGGTCATGGGCAGATCTTAGAAAAAAAATAAAGAAAGATGTAGAAGATGGGATTTAGAATTATTTTTTGGCAAATAGAATTCAAAGGTGTTGGTTGATAAATCTCAAACTGCCTTTGTCAAGGGTAGAAGGATTAGTGACAACACTCTTCTCTCTCAATAGCTATTGAGAAGATACCAGATCAACAGGGGTACCCCAAGATGTAATTTGAAAGTTGACCTCATGATTCATGAAGGCATATGATAATGTCAGATGAGATTTCATGTTAGAGGTGATAAAGCAAATGGGGTTTCATCAGAACTTAATCCAATGGGTGGAGGTATGCATCTCTTCATCTATATACTCCATTAATATCAATGGAGAGCTTATGGCTACTTTCAAGGAAGAAAAGGCCTTAGGCAAGGTGATCCTATGTCACCTTACCCTGTTTTTCATTGTCATGGAAGCCTTAAATGGGTTGATGAAGGCGGCAACTATTTTGTTGAGGTTCCAATTCCATTGGAGATGTAAGAAGGAAATTATTTCACACCTCTGCTTTATGAATGATGTTATGATTTTTAGCAAAGGAACATTGGAGTCTATTAAGGCACTGAGAGAAGTCCTGCAGGTTTTCCATGAGTTTTCTGGGCTCAAACCCAACTAGTCTATTCAGTTAAATCAGGCTACTCCTTGGCTACTAGTCTTTATTTTCCAAGCACTGTGGATGCTAGGCCCTCCCTCTCTCCTCATCCGTTGTTATGGCTCGTCATTTGGCGACCCTTCCTAAAATAAGGCATTTCTGGTGGCAAGTTTGCAACAATATTTTGGCTACCCGTGAAAATTTGTTTAGGAGAAATTGTGGTACCTCTCCTTGGTGCCAGATTTGGAAGGTTAATATCGAAACCATAGAGCATGTCCTTTTTGGTTGTGAATGGACAAAGAATGTTTGGTTTGGTTCCGATTTTGGTTTTCGTTTTGTTGAGGATTCTTTTTCAACTGCTATGCATTGTGTCTCCGCAATCTTAGAAACTATCAGTTACACATCCCGTTCTTTGGAAGTCATGGAGCACATTGTGACTATTGCGTGGGCAATCTGGAAAGCGCGGAATCAGGCGGTTTTCAATCAAGAGGCGCCAAATGCACTCACTACACTACTTAGGGCAAGGAACTTATGCTGTGATATTTTTGTAGCTGCAACAAAAGGAGTAAATACCTCTTTTGTCCCTACTGAGTCTGTGTCCCCCCCAAACTGTCGGAGCCATGATTTTATTCTCAGTTGTGATGGAGCTTATAAAAAGGGCAAGGCTGCTATTGGGGTTGTTGTAAGGGATTCGACTGACTGTGTTGTGGACGGGATCGGTACAAAGATTATGACATCTTCAAGCCTCCAAGCAGAAGCTCTTGCGGTGCGAGAAGCATGCCTTGTAGCAAGTGCAGCACAGTTAAAGCATTCAAGAATTGAGAGTGATTGCCAGGCGGTTATTAAACTGTCCTCAACTGAAGATGACCCCCCTTGGGAGATCAGTGCTCTAGTGGCAGATATCAGATTCTTTGCCAATCAACTTCATCTTTGTTTTTTGTACAAACCATGAGCCCTCAATAGGGCTGCTAATTGGGTGGCTTTAGCTACGATGACTGATTCGCTTGCTGCGAACTGGGTCAGCTGTCCCCCCAACGAGTTCAAGGCTTTCCTTTGTACTGACTGTAATCATCATTTTCCTACTTGAATGAAAGTTCACTCTCTTTTGATCTAAAAAAAAAAAAAACCCAACTAGTATCAAGTCTACTTTTCTGGAGTGGATAAGGGGGTTAGGCAGGAAATTGTTCAATATTTGGAATATATAGAAGGAGTCTTGCCTGTGATATATCTTGGGGTGCCTCTTATATCTACCAAGCTTAGGCCAGTTGACTGTAGTTTCAACCACCGATATTCATGGAAATTTTGATGATGAACAAGTAGAGTGTTGGGCTGCTTTCATTTCTATTAAATGGGAGGTGGAGAGGGGTAACCAACATGTAACGTTGGAGGGTGACTCAAAGACGGTCATGGAGACTATAGAAAAGCAGCAGCAAAACTTATCATCTATGGGCCATATTATAGATCAGATCATTATTATGCTGATCGACTCTCCTATTTTTCTATATCATGGATTCATAGATCAGGTAATAGTGCAGCGCATTTGTTAGCTAGATATGGACACTCGCTTCCAAATCATGTAAGATGGAGAGAAGGCCTCTCCGGAAATGTTGTTGCTAACTCTCGGATCTAATGTTTTAAAGTTTAATCTATACTATTTTAAAATATCAACAAACTATTTTTTTTTTCACTTTTACCCTCCAATACTACAGCTATAACATGTTTATCTTCAGATATAATGTCATAATTTATATTAATTAATTACTCTACTAAAGTGAGCTAACCCCTAAAAACTTTTAGTTTCCTTTTTGCCTCTTTATCTTCCAGTGTCACGGTCTTAATGTATACAAGAGGCTACATTTATTTTACATCAAATAGTTTCCTGTCACATGTATAAAGTCTCTAATATCAGTTATTTGGCCTCAATCTCTTCCTCACACTTCTCTGCATACTCAAGAGTTTCCTTTCATACCACGAAGAAGGGTGGTCTAACGGGGTACCGGTCTTATTCCTTACTTTGAAATTAGAAGTTCGAGTTTTGGAGTCTCTATTGGATCTTGGTGGTTGGCTGTTATATTAATCTAGTTACGTCTGGTCCGAGAGGTATTCCAGGCGCAGTCAGGGACCTTATAATTCCATTGGCGAGGGTTTATCGGGTTGGTCGTTGGGCGCACTTCCTTGCCTCCCCACTTTTTTTTCATGAACAAAAAAAAAGAAAAACCTTTCATTTAAGCTTTTACCCTTTTGCTATATCAGCCCACCGATCGGTATCAATAGAGAAGAGCTTTTAGCTCTGTAATAGCGTCGCTTTTCTCGAAGATTGACATATCAAGGTATCCCGTTGACCCTTGCATGTTGCCTTTACGATGATCCAAGGTCACTTTAGATTTTGTTTATTGATCACAGAAATTTCGATTCTAAGTTTTATTTTCTGAATCAAATATGTATTCATTTCCATTGATTTTGTTTTCTGATTATCTGTTCTTGTATGAGTTTGAGGATTGATTCTCTGTCAGCCTTTAGCTTGGTTAGTGTGTTAAATCCTTCTAAAAATATACTCTATTTGGTTTGTTGAGAAAAAAATGCTTAATAGAATAAATTAAATTTGTAAAATCCTAAAGTAACCAAACTCAGCTCAAAATCATTGCTTTTTCACTTGATTAGTGGGGCTGTAGTTGTTATTTTTTTGGAAATCAAACATTACAACAAAAAAAAAAGGCTCCATTTTTTTCTGTTTCCTATTTCATCTTTGGTGCCAAGAAATGAACGGAACACGATATTATCATCTCCCTATACATTGTTGGGTGTATGATGAAATTAACTTAATATGTATGTTTCTTTAGGTATTATGTTTCACTATTAACTCATGAATTTTTTAAGTCAAACATCTTTTCTGCTTCTGTTCCTATGGAGTTGTCATCCTTTCAGTTGAGTAGTCCCATTGTTTCTACCTTTGAAAATTTTTATGTACATCTTTCAAGTGTAAGAGACTGAAAATTTCTCCTGTTACTCAAAAACCATGATCCGAAGTATCCAACCTACAAAATCATTGCCACTGAAATGTTTCGTCAGAGTAAAATATTGTTACATTTGTAGCTGATTTTGTATCAGGTTACGTGTATGGATAGTTTGGTTTGCTAATGAACTTCTTTATAGGGACAAGAAGCAGTGGTAAATCGAAGGTTGGAATTACCTACTGAACACGGAAAACCCAAATAAATATCATTTAATATGGTCACCTTTCATTATGGACTTATGGTTCATCCGGTCTTCGTAGAAAATTTTCAGTTGTTACCGTATTTTGCATCTCTGCCCAAAACACTCAGGTTTTACACATATTGGAAGCTTGATTCTTACAGTTGAAAATTTAGGTTAAGATATTAATGTGGCAACAGTGAATGGCCTCTTATTGATGCTATGTACATGGTAAGAATGTGTGGTGAGCTTTAGGGCGGAGCCAAACTTTTTTAGTTGTGGGGACAACTTAATTATTTGTTAATTTTGTGTCATATTTATAAATAATATTTAGAGTTGGAATTCAACTTTGATATTAAAGGGGCTATGGTGGTGGAGTTTATAAGTCTTGTGGATTGTTGTATAAA